TTAATCCACTGATAGTGAGGGTTCCAGATTCTCCTGTGATCTCTGGGGCCATCTCTCTGTTGCTGAGCTTTATCTCTAAAGCTCAGCATGCAGCTGCAGAGTTGGTCATCTTACAGCAGGGTTATAACTGGGGAGGGATTGAAGTAAATGTAAATCATACTCTGGATCAAGAGAAAATTGAAGCAGGCTCTCAACACCCTTCTAATTAGAACCACTGTAAGCTGTCTGTGGGGCCTGGGAATACAATTTACAAGTTGTTTTCTCAAGTCAAAGTTCACTGGTTACTTGCTGCTGGATAAATGCCATCCATTACTCAGAGACTGAAGATGCTTGTCCCAGTTCTTGGATTATTTCAGATTGGTTTTTGGCACAAATTTATCTGGCCTCATATATTGTTTCCAAGGCCCACATCATGTTCTCTACTCTTACTACAGTGGAGGTGGATAGTGGTTATATTAGGTTGAATGACAGCAAGAAGGAAGCTGTCGCTGCTACAGCACACCAGCTGGAGCAATGGGGTTGGGGGAAAATGTTCTGTCCCCCTGGAGTGAGGGCAGGAAAACATGCAAAGTGTCTTCTGTGTGGCGTCACCCAGAGATGATGCAAGAATAAAGAGAATGTGAATTTGGTCAAAGATCCTCTCTTCCTGTGGTGTTTAGCCGTTGTTCCCTATTTCCCTAGGAGGAAAATAGGTGGGTTAGAAAGAATTCTAGAATTGCCTGAGTTCCAATATAGCATATATAGTTCTAGGGTTTTTTTTTTTTTTCCTTTTGCAGCTGGCTTTCATGTATTGATCGTGAACGGGCTGGCTGCGTTCTTTTTTCTTACCGGCTAAAATCCTTGGCAGAATGCAAGGCATTAATTATGGGGTATATGCTGAGGGGATAATAGAAGTCCAACAATTCAGAGCCTATAGAGTAAAATAGACTCTCCATTAGAAATCCCTGCTTCCCTCCTCCAAAGCAGGTAAAAGGTTGGATCAAGGCTCTTCGTCCTAGCCGAGAGGCTTACCCGTTATCTGTGTGATGTATTTGTTCATTTAGTAATGTTTTTATTAAGCCAATCTGCTATTTGGATCATCTTCCAGGCTCCGTTGATACTACTGAGTGGCTCTGCTGCTTGAGACACTAAATCCCCTGTTGAAGTCGGGACAGCCTTACAGTCCCAGTGCAGCTCTGTTGTATCCCTGGCACGCGTGAACTCTTAGGGTTCGCTCCATTAAAAAGGCTTGAAAGGGTGATGAAGGTCTGAGATTTCAGAAGCAGTTCCTGGTAGCACTTAATTGTGTTTTCCCTTTCTCTTAAGTAGTGGGATATTCTCTGTGAAGCTCCCGCTGGTGTCTGACAACTCAAATGCAATCATGCTGCAGTGATATAGATGCATTAGCTGAGCTTTAGTAACTGTGGGGGAGAGGATGTGCTCTTGTGTTGCAGCAGGCGCAAAGCAGTCTACCTTAATTTTAAGCCTCTTTCAATGAGACTAAGATATGTCAAATTACCTGGCAGTTATGAAGGACGTAATGTGCTGGGATACCCCAGTTCAACTGATGGATGATAACTTAAGTCTTGGTCCTATATGCCCAAAAATCCTTGCTAGTATGCCTGTATGGATTAATTATCACTAAGCCTAAATTGAGATGTAAGGGCTTTTTGTGTACTTTAAGATATTGTGCTCGTTAAATGTATTAAGGAAATGCTTATTGAATCGTACTTACAGAATATGGAGTACTTCATCTTTAAAGTAAGAAAACCCAATGTACTTTTCTTGCAGGTCCAATGTAGGTGTTTAATTCTGATACGGCAGTAATGCTCGCTGCCCCCTGAAAATTGCTACAGTTATTTAGATATTTTATTTAATAGTTTTTTTTTTTTAACAGGCAACAATTGGCATTGACTTCTTATCGAAAACCATGTATTTGGAAGATCGAACAGTGAGTAAGATTTTTGTTGCAGTTCTCCATGTACAGTTGGAACCAGAATCAGCATCTATTATAATATAATTGTGCAGCACAGAGTTCTGAGATCGCTTGGAAGCCAAGACTGAGCCCTTCATTTACCAGCTGCTTCCAGACTAACAAGCGCTGTGGAGACAGCTCCCTTCTCTGGGGAGATGGGAAATCACCATTCGGTTCATCTCCAGTGGTCTAATGAGTGCCATTTTACACGTGATGGAAAGGGTTATATAGTCATCCTTCTTTTTTGAAGAAAGATGAGACAAGGTGTTTTGAGGGGCAGATGATGTTGTGAATTTGAAGAAGGGAACCACACTTACCCCTTCAGTTTTTGATGCCTCAAGAGGGAAGGATAGACTACAGATTGAGTCATGTATAAAGTTGCCAGTTTGTATCCAGCTCACAGCTCTTAAAATTACTTAAATAGAGAAAGTGTGCCTTCAGTAATAGTCCACAAATATATACTTGTTTACTTGGCTTAGTGCAGCTCCAGTTTCTGAAATGAAATTGCCACTTCACAGAAGCAAGTCTGTGGTTTCAAATTATCTCAGATCCTTAATTAAGAAATTCAGCCATGGAGCTATTTGCAGGAAAAATTGTGCAGTGCTGCATAACCTTATGGTGTTGGATAAACCCACAATAAATACGATTGCATTAAAAGTGCTTGGGTGAGGAGATGTTCTTTCCATAGCAAAACCGATCCTTGTGCATCTTTCCATGTGTGTTGTTTTTAGTACACTTTGTCTTTTCTTTCAGAATCTTGGTGGTAAGAGATTTTCAACTTCACCTGCATGCATGTTACCTTGCGCTGTGGCTAAGGCTTTAAATATAGGGTAATAACTAGCATTTTTTCCTCCTTGAAAAATTCACGTTAGTCACGTTTCGCCAGTGACTTGACAGCAGCTGAAGACTCTCCCTTTAGAAGGATGGTGTGTCTGGTCCGATTCTTCCACCAGCACCTGTCCTCCAGGCCCCCGCAGGTTACAGGCTTGAGTCCTGAGGGAGAACGGCAGCAGAGCATGAAAACCTTGCGTAGGTAGACTGCAGGTGAACGTTAGCTTTAGTTCTCCTGCAGATCCTCTCGGTTAGAAAGGAAAACTGAGCAGTCCTGTTCCTCCCCTTTTGGAAGGGAAACATTTTTGAAATTCAAGGACAGAGGAAGGCCGAGATAGGCGCACGTATACCAGCTGGACTACTACTAGAGCTTGGGAGAGATTGCTACAAACAAGGAGGCAGTTTGCTGCTCCCAGTCCCCAGTCTTCTCCTGCATGAGCTTATATTTTTATTTAGCTTTTTTTTTTTTTTTCCTTTCAAAAAAGTGAAATTTATTTACTCTTTTATTTTTAGTGGCAGTTTGGCTTTTTTAATTTTCTCCCACCCACAGATCAGGTTGCAGCTGTGGGATACTGCGGGTCAGGAACGTTTCCGTAGCCTCATTCCCAGTTACATCCGTGACTCTGCTGCTGCTGTAGTAGTTTACGATATCACAAGTAGGTATATTGCACTGGGTTTGACCTTTTCTTATTTTTCTTGCTTGTTTGACTGATTTTGTTAGGTACGGTTGCAATTATGGGACACAGCAGGTCAAGAACGGTTCAGGAGCTTGATTCCTAGCTACATTCGTGACTCCACTGTTGCAGTTGTTGTTTATGATATCACAAGTGAGTGGGGGGAATTCTGCATTTCTAATACTCTGCGCCTTTCATCCCTTATCCTCGCTTTGCATGTCTTACCACGATCATGTGCTTGTTCTTCATTCTGGCATGAGAAAATGTTTTCTTTTATTGTAGTCAGGTTTTAAACTAGCCACCTGATCACTGCTGCTGTAATGTATAAACTGTCTTATAAATGACATCATTTGGTAACCCTTTCTTGCCACGTTCTCCGGAAGCCTTGAGTCCTGGATGGTCTTGTTGCACTTTACCCTCTCTCATCTGCTTTTTGTTCATAATCTCACCTTTGACTTTTTGTCTGAAGCGTGCATATATACGCGAGCTCTCAGTTGAGGGCCTTTGTGCTGACAGCTGCAGCTTGCTTCGCTTCATTGCCCCCCAGATCTGGGCATGGGCTGGGGGAAAAAAAACATTTAACATCCCATTTTCATTTAAACCACTCATTTTCACATTTGCAGTATGTAAAACTTCACCACTAAGCCCTTCTCCTTTAACAACTGCTCTTTCATTTCTTACTAAGGTATGTACATTTTTGTGAGCTAAAATATTAGTGCTTTTTTCAACCCTTCTTTTCCCCCTCTCCCCTCAGTCCAGAGACCCCTAACTTACTGGCTTTCTATATTTTTGAAGAACAAGAAGTCTTGTTATAAGAGAACTAAGCCTTTAGATATTGTCAGTTTTAAACCAGAAATGACTGAGAGCAATGGTCTAATGCTATACAAATGCGAAAGAGCTTGTCCTTTGATTTATAAATAGTAGAAGATTTCAGCAGGTGTAAGGGCTTTACCTATAAAAGCTTGAACGATTAAAAATAGCACTTCTCATTTGAGCTAAAATTACAGGTTATCTGTGAACTTTGTGTTTTTTTTTTTTTTTTTTTTACTCTAAAATTCAGTGTTGCCAAATAATAAAGAGAAGAATTCAGACACTGGCAAGCGAGCAAGTTTTGAATATCTGACATACGATATATTACTATGCAGTAGAAGCCATTAAAAAAATTGAATGCTTGCCAAGGACTGCTGCAGAGCCCCCCCCCCATCCAGTATTTAAGTACTGAAAAATACTTTGACAACTCAGATACTCTTGTATGACTAACTGGCAAATGCCAAGCTTAATGGCAGATGCGGTACAACTTGCATTTCCTTGCGTGATTAAACTCTTCAAATGCAGTCCTGTTTCTGTAGATCAGGATAGTTTCCTGAAGTTCTTGTTTTGCAGTTTTAAGGGACTTTCAATTAAGAAAAAGTACCTGTGGATAGCTTAAACTTATATTTCTGGTTCTATGCAAATGGTTCTGAAATTTTTTTGAACTCAGCGTTCAGTGAAACAGGAGTTGCTAGTAATTGTTTCCTGATGTTTCTTGGAGAAAAGCCTAAAACTAGCAAGTAAAATTTGAGCTATGCAAAATGCATGGTTGGTATTAAACACTTATGTGAAGCCATGAGACTGCAGGAACCTCTTGCTGTAGATGCACGTGTCTGATATTTCTCAAGTCAGGAGCCCTGTAGAGTGAAGGGCAATACCACGTAGTCCCCTTCCTCTATATGAAGTGGATTTTCATTCAGCGGAATGAAATAGAAACTGGTCTAAAAAGTAGTGGTAAGACTCATTTTATATGCAGTCAAAATCAAATTATAGTTCAAGTCAGTTCATTACAGGGGAATTCAAAGCCAGGCAGTGAAGTACTAGTAGCCCATTTGAAGTTAACACCAAAACTTTCATATACTTCAGTGTGGGGGACTTAGGATTTCACTTGCTGATTCTTCATCACCCTATTATGCCAATTCCAGAGAACATGAAGCTTTTATTTGAGACTTGCAAATGTATTATTATTGATCTGTGAAGAATATCTGCAGTGATGCTCCTCTCCACTGTTCCCTGTTAGATGTAAACTCGTTCCAGCAAACCACAAAATGGATTGATGATGTCAGAACGGAAAGGGGCAGTGATGTCATCATTATGCTGGTGGGAAATAAAACAGATCTAGCAGATAAGAGGTATGGAGGAATAATTCATCTTCCAAATGTTTTTCTTAGTGAGCTGCTGTTTTCTCCTAGACTTTTTTTTTTTTTTAAATGTTTCTAGATAGTCCTTTTAAACGGAATGCTTATATATTCTTCCAAAATGCTCAAACTTTGCTTTAACTGTGCTGGAGATGGATATGACTAGAGAAATCTTGATTTTTTTTTTTAACCTTCTGTTTAGTTAAGCACAAGTTTGCAGCATAATGTTGTGAATGAGGTGAGAAACCGGCCTCAAGTGTCAAAAGAGAATGGACGGTTAAACACAATTTGCATCAATGAAAGACTAGCTAAAGTAGTAACAAATATTTACATTTAACTTCCTCAGATATAAATGATAGGTGCAAGTAATCATCCCTCTTGAAACTCTTCAAGGTTTTTTAACAAGTTGTGAAACTTAATATTTTCTGTCAAACGTTTATCCCCTGCCCCCAAAATAGCTTATCCGTTTTTGTCTGGAAGCTCTTCAACCAAAGTTTTCCCCAGTTTTGGCCATAGCAGACTGCTTGATGGCCAGGACACCTAGCTAGGGGAAAAGGACAACAGAACCAAATTTATCTGATATGAGATGGCTACGCTTAGTCTTTTGTTAAAATAGTTGTATAGGCTGCAAGTTGCCTTGACAGTTGCTACCGGGTGTTGAAATCTTTTCATGGTCTCAAGTTACTTATTACTTGAAAGAGGTTAAATGCTACTTAGCAAACCTTAAATTGTTGCTAATTTTTATCAGATGTAAAAGCATGGCTTCCTGGACAGGGACTTGGAAGAGTCTAGTTGGGCCGCTCAGTTGTTCCACTGGAAAGCTGAGTTGTACTTTGGAGCTGGATGCACTGTGAAAGTTTATCTGATACCGTGGAATGGTGACACTTGTCTAAAACTGTGCTAAATCTGTGTCATCTGTATACAGGGAATAGCATTAAAGGCTTTGAGAACTGTAAAGAAGTTGTTATCTCCTTGGGTTGAAGACATCTTAATTCTTGAGGTGTTTGTCTTTTATTATTATTATTATTATTTTCCTTCTTAATTCTGTGTTATCTTCCCCAGACAAGTGTCCATCGAGGAAGGAGAAAGAAAAGCCAAAGAGCTGAATGTAATGTTCATTGAAACTAGTGCAAAAGCAGGATACAATGTAAAACAGGTAAGTGATAGAGAGTAGTGAGACTGAGACTGCTTCTGTTAATGCACCGTTGCAGAAATAGGATGTGCTGCAAAACGTTGGGGAGTCGTCTTTGCAAAGGGTGTTAGAGGGTGTAGTGCATACACAGCAAGCAAGATCTGAGTTAAGTTGTTGGCTGAGGTCAGGAAGGCACCTTGACCTCACAGCAGATGCTTTGAAACTGCCTTCCTTTCAGAAAAGAGGAATTGAGAAAGAATCTTTCTGGATTGGGAATCGTACTTTCCCAGAATCTGCAGAATCCAGATCTAGTGTTTAGACACAAGGGACTAAGGCACGAGCCAAAGAGATGGGGAGTTGTGGGTCTGGGGGCTGGTTCTGATACTAGTTTAGTGAATGAATGTGGGCAAACCAACCAAGGAGGAATGTAATGGACTAAAATAATGCTTCCACTGTATAGTGAGGCAGTATAAACTGTTTTTCCCACTTTATTGAAAGGCATTGAAAGCACGAGCAAATATTCTTGGGCAGCTTAAACTATTTCTGTTAGATGATGAGATGCTTTTAAATTGAGGGAAAGTAGTGAAATGTATTCTGAACTGATGCAACTGCAGCTATATTAGGTTTTATGTTGTGGGATGAGCTTACAGCCCTTTAAATCCTGACCTGCTAGATTGAAGTTTTAGCGCCTGTGTTAATGAAGATAAATCACTTGGCAAACAGTGAACTGATGAAAGCAGTGAACATTGCAGAGCTGATCTGGTGTTTACATAAAAATTGTGTTTGGGCCTATTAGTTATGTTAGCAAATACGCTGCACCGAGGCAGTGCATAATGGGATATTGCTTTTTCATTGGATCTAGTATTTCTCATGTGGAGTCAGGCCCTCTAAAGTGTTTGGCAGCTAGTTTTACGGCAGGAGGAAAGGAAGTACTGCAAGATGTAAAGTCTTCTGCTCTTGGATGTCTCCATAGCCACATAATGCCTACGTTCTTACGCAGATAGTTTGTGTACAGAATTGCGTAAAGAGGTGCTAAAGCAGGGCTATAAATTACTCTGAGTGTGCGTTTTATACAGGAGTGAAGGCTCTGTTGTTAAATATCCCTTCACTTTGTACATTGGTAGCAAAATTATTCCCTATGTAATGGAATAATTACGTGTGTTAACTTTAGCGCTGCGTTTCTCCGCATAAACAAGCGTACAAGCGTTCAGTTCCAGAGTCCAGCAATCATCATACCACAGCACAGAGGCTGGCTTGTAATCAGGGCTTCACTTTTGGGCTAGGATCCTGAATGTTTTCTTGGAATAGGGCTGAGCATTTGAGCAGTAGCCTCCCTGAGAGGAACGGTGGTGACTAAGCTCTGTGCTCCCGCTTTTTTCAAGGGAGTTGCTGCGTAGCTAACATGTTACCGCAAGTGCATGCCCAAGCCCGTAAGGCAGGTTGGGGCTTTTAAGGCCAGTTAACGCTGCTTGGGTCGGAGCCTCTCGGTAGAGAGGCCAGCAGGGAAACCTTCTACGATATGGCTGTTGTCCATCTTGACGTAAGGTATTGGCATTTAATAAAACATACGCTTTGTAAAGCTACCACAGTCTTCATCGTTAAGGATAGTAGCTCCATTTAATACATGATGAAGGAACAAACTTCAGCTTTTTGTATCTTATGCTGAAGCTGTTGGGAGGTTGTATTAATGAGTTTGTCAGAGCGTAAAGCCACGTCTGTAGCTGTAGCCTCACTTGCACGCTCCCCAGAGAGAGTTTTCCGTTGTATAACAGGTCTGTGCAAATCGTGCCTTTAATTTTAATTGGCAGGATACATGTTGTGAGACTCTTCTTCTGTCAGAAAATGGATTTGGTAATTCAGCTCCTGCAAAAAAGTGGTGGTGGTGGTGGTGCTGGAGAACCTATGGGCTAGTTCCCTCTGTATTAAATTGAAGTTTTGCTGTTCAGAAAGAGAATTCTTGTTCATCACTGAAGTTAACAAACAGTAGCGTCTAACAGACTTGCGACTGTTACATACCAGTGCATCATAATTTGGGCGGCTGCTTCGCATAGTGGGAAGTCTCGTCAAAGTTGGACGGAGGACAGTTCTTAAGTGACGTCTTTCTCTGGGTAAAATCAAAACAAAAGCCGTAAGTGTATGTTTGAAAAGAACTAAGGATATATTTTTCTTCTGTGGCTTTTGATCTTTGTATCAAGACATGGACTGGGTTTTTTAGGAACTTCAAAGTCGCTACTGTGTAGCGCAGGGTATTTGAAAGGTCCTTTTTTCTTAGCTTAATAAATAGTTGTTGAAAGTTGTTATTTTCAAGGGTGAGGCTCTTGATGCCGCTAGTTTAATTGTGTTTTCCTTGCAACTTCTGTGTAGAATAGTCTGAGATTATTTTATGAACACATCAATAAATTGTTCAATGAAATGGGAAAGTGTATGGAGAGAACTGCAGACTGGGTACCCCTACTGTAACCTGTATAAAATCTTTTTTTACTGGACTGATTGCAAGTTTGACCTTCCCGTAACTGGTAACTTTTATCCATAATATATTGCAACTCTGCAGAATAATTACTGTCTAAGTTAATTTTCATACAGGAGGTTTAATTCAAGTGTCAAATTGTTTTGAATATGAAATCCATATTTTGACTGTGTGTAACGAACACATTTATGGAGAAATTGAGGTCACTGTGCTGAATATCAAACGTCCATGTAAAGGTGAATTTTAGAATAGTGACAAAGTCATTGGTTTGTCCATTTAGCATATAGGTTCAGGTTTAGCAGTTACCATGCAGCTTTGATGCCGAGTATGGCTGGTATATGTAGATTAGGGAATATGAACTGATTTTTTTTTTCTTTCACTCAAAATTCTTATCTATCAGTGTTGAAACTTAGCTTCTTAGATTTCAGTTCTTCACAACCTACCTGAGCAGTCCAAAAAACCTGACAGAATGCTGTTGTGGTTCCCACTGTCCTCTCTTCTCAGCACAAAGTCTGACTCGTGCATCTAAAAGCTGGTTTAAAGGTAGGGAGTGGCACAAATAAACTTTGTACGGTGGGAGACTTGGAGCGGAGGTGAAGCCCTGCTCCTCCATTGCTGCCTCCGTTGGATTTCCATACGTTTCGCAGTAAGGTTTCTGTGCAGTGTTGGACATATACATCTTGATGTTTTCTGATTCCAGATTGGTGTCTCTTATTACAAATGCTTCTTGTGTGGCGCACCATAGCTTCCTTGCTTTTTTCTATCCCCTTCAGCAAATAGCTCGGTTGGCGGTGTGAATCCCAGTGCCACCGATGTGCGGGCAACACTTAAGGATGTCTCTGCCTGCACTGCCCTAGGTCTGACTGCCCAACAGAGTTATCGGGAGCAGAGGCAGCAGTTCAAACAGCTCTGGCACAGCCCTAGTGCCAGCGAAGAGATGCCTTGGGGCGCTAGCCGATACACTAACGTCATTCCAGACTGGGTCAGACGTTGAATAACGTCATCTCAAGAGTGCCGAAACTTGGTGCTGTTCGTATTGGCCCAAGCACTAGGATTCTCTGAGGGATGCTGTCTGCGAGGTTTCAGAATCAATATTTGCCCCCTTAAGATATGTAACAAGTTTAATTTCTTACCTCACCTGGGGAGAATAATAGCTAAGATTTTACCACTTCCCTGGTCTCGTCACTTGTTTGCTTGCTCTTGGTGGAAAATATTTTTAACCTCGTGGACTACTTCTGTCATCTTGTTCATCCTTTTCTTCTGGAAGGCTGCACAGATGAGAGGAAAGGGCACTGGCCTTCAGCTTTGTGCTCACTGCAGCCATCCTAGAAATCCAGAGAGCCTGCCTTTTTAAGGTGTAACTCCAGAAGGTGGACACTGCCCCACGCTTCAAACAGGTATTTCAACGGCAGGAGCTTCTACCACCATGGAAACAGAGGGGAGCATCTGGCAGGGAGGGGGTTGTTTTTTTTTTTTTTTTTGCTTCTGTGTTTTTGTGGGGGTTGGTTGGTTTAGTTTGCCGTTGCCGCCTGGAATGAAGGGGTAACATCTCGGAAGATGCCATCGCAGCTGACAGTATTGTGGGCTGAGGTGGAAGCGAGTGACCTATGGCTTGAGTTTAGAGGCCTGGAGGTGGGACTGCCTGCGGTCACTGCAGGGAAGTACAGAAGATTTACAGCCTGCGTATGTGCTAGCTTAAACCCTGCCGCTGCAGGCTTTCGTTTTATGGCTTTTCCGGCATTTCTTTTCTCTTCCTCTAGGATGGATGTGATGACCTGCTGTGGCAAGTTTCATGCCTTCTAGATGTACGCTCTCAAACTAGACTGTAATGTACAGCTTTTGTGTACTCCTGAATCTATTAAGGTAGAGCCTTCTCTCCGGTCGCCAAGATCGTACGCGCTTATTGTCCCTTCTGGCTTCTGGGAGGGGGATGCCGAAGGAAAAATGAGTGGGTGATGGACAGAATGAAAACGGTAATAGTATTGTCCTGAGGTTAAATTGGTGCAGTAAAGCAAAACTTGGCTTTTAGTTCCTCTCAGTTTCAACAAAGACTGATTGTCAGGGCAGCCTTGAGCCTGAAGAAGGAGGTAGATAGCTTGCTTCAGTTAATGCAGGGAATCTTAGTCTCTGATTTACTTTGTCAGCGCTGAATAAGCTTTAAAAGAGTTTGAGATTCATGCTCTATCTCAGCAGTCTGTATTTTAGAGAATCTTATTGTTAGTTTGGATTTCATGCCCAGAATATGTCAGGGTTCATTTTGCTGTCTTGTGGAAAGAGGAGAGAGAGCGAGCTCTGAAGACCTTCTTACAGCAGTACCTGGCACGCTTTGCGTTTGTTCTCAAAGAACCACAGCCTGAATATGGTATTTGGCAGGAAAACTTTCTCACGGCAGTAGCTAAAGGACCGTGGCCCCACGAGTGACCCTGTTTTCATAGAGCTGGCTGCATCCAGCCACTTGGCACTTTTTCCTGTCCTTTGATTTTTGTCTATGTGATGGGCAAGAATTACTCTTTGAGTTGCAGCACCCTCCTTGGAGAATTAGAATTAGGGAAACATTTTGCGCTTGCTTTGCTTTGGGGAACAGGTTTCTTGCCTGGCTTTTCCATCTGGACAGTGATCCTCCTGTCCTTTCCATATTGCAGAAGGAGTTTTACAATGACGGCTGTTTCATGCCTACAGTTGGCAGTGACACTGATCCGTAAGGGATGTATTGGCTGAAATGGTAGGAGAGGCAGTTTGGGAAATGAATTGAAACTAGTGGCGAGGGATGAGGTTCTTTCAGAGTTTAATCAGGAAGGAGACCGGAGGGTTGAATACTGAAAGAGACTTTGTATGGCTCTTAATCTTTCAGGCTGTTGCATTTAACTCCTGCCTTGGAAAAAGAAAAAAGTGCTGAATGCTCACCAATATGTGTATTTTACATAATATATATGCGCAACTGCCTGTGGCGTTTTCAGTGAGATAAGACTGCTGGCTTGGGTCCTGAAGGTACTGTGAAGCAGTAAGGTCCCTGTGTAGAAGGCTGCTTTGTAACCATCACAAAGTTTCCCTAATTGGATTTGTTCACATATGCTCTGACTGATAAGCAGAAAGTTAATAACAGGGAAAGTTGATTTTCTTATTTGCCAAATTCCTTTTTAGCCCAGTAATTTAGGGGAGAAATACAGCTAAAGGCATAATTTTGTTCTTGGCCTTAATGTAAAGAGGGGATTACTGTATTTTAAACCCTTATCCTTGCTGTCAACGACGTGGTTTAAATGCAACAATCCAGTTGGTTCCTATCAACTGAATTTTTTTTAAGCAACATATTCCCCCTCAGAATACAGTGCATCCCAGATGTTCAGCGTTCACAAATATGTGTTGAAGAAGGGGAGAATAAGTACAAGTCAGTGTCACAATTAATAAATCAATTTTGGGTCGTGCTCTTCCCACCTAGGATCTCAAAGCACGTGGAATCAGCAAAGGATTCCATGAGCTGATGTATTTTCCTCTTTCTTTCAGAGCAAAGATGCTAAGTCTTTGTCCTAATTTAGGCCCATTCTGGTAGGACTGTACTAAACTCTGATATCCATCCTTAAAACTGAGGGAAGGGATTTTTTCCCCACAAAGCATGTGCATCAAGAACTGGGTCAAAATTCCTCTGTAGACTCTTTTGCCATGTAGGAACAAAAAAGCAGGAGCCAGGATTTTCAAAAGCGTAGCATGTGCTCATCCTCAGGTCTCTTCTGCTTGCATTTGAAACTTGCACTTTTAAACCTTCTCGGTCGTGGATTGCCTGTGATTTGCACCCTGTTCCACAGCCTTTGCACCTTTTTACCGGTTCTTTGATCATTGGATACTGAAGATATCATCCTGGGAGCTGCATCTCTTGCCATAGACCATCTTTGCAGTTTGCGGCAAGTCATTTAACTCTGCTTCAGCTCCTTAGTTGCAAAGTGAAGGTAATAGTCCTACTCTACCATCCAGCGAGTGGCCTGTGAGAATGATTAAAACTGGTGAAGCTTTCAAATATTTAGAAGAGGCAAGAGGTAGTATTGTAAGGGATATTGATTTTCCCTCTTTAACAGTATCTTGACTGGGTTGCTGCTTAACTGTAGGCTTATTCTTCACTAAACGTCTCTTGGTGTAGCGTAGGGATAGATAAGCTAATTTGCTCGGTTCTCTACCTCTGAGGTGTTACTCTTACAGCAACAGGGAAGCGCAGGTTGGAGGGGTGAGAGACTGAACAGATCGTCCCCTGCAGAACTAATAGTGACGATTCTAGCTATGATGTGTTGTTTCAGAGGGGAGCAGAGCTTACCTTATTGACAACATAGCAATGGGCTTCTGAAAGCGTAACCATAAACGGTATTTGAATACGTGGGTTTTTTGCCATGCAGTCTGGTGATTGTCCAGTAAGACACTTTTCTCCCTAGAAGTTGGTCACAAAGGTGTCTGCCTGAGTAGAAATGTAGTTGAGATCTGTTAATCAGTATGTGAAAACTCAACTGGATATTGAATGTTTTGGGAGTAGGAGCAATATTTAGGGACAAAGCCTGGTAAAGAAGGAGCCTCAGAACCTTCTGCTACCCAAATGTGATTGAGTTGGGAAGTTTACTGAAGGCAAAGACAGCATTGAGTCCAAAGCAATTGTGGATTCAAATGCAGTACTAAAACTTTTAAGGCTTCCAGAGGAAGAGGAGCTTTAATCTCGTTTACTTCCTTGATCATCTTCAAGATGCAAAAAGCATAACGGATGGTCCCGTTTTATACAGAGTGAATGAAAAGCCTTCAGAAAATCAATAAAACTAATAAGGTCGGCAGTGCTGTCCTCTGGCAGTTATCTGACTGGAATGGCAAGGAAAATAATAATGCTGACAATGAGGTTATGGTGGGAGATTGCTCTGAAAGTTTGCAGCATCTTTCCTCTCCCTTGTTCATTCTTATAAACCAGACAAAGTGCCCGTGTCTGATTCAGTTTTAAAAAGCTGTCCTACGAAACGGTAGTCACGCTGCTTTTCCAAGCAGAGTTAGGAGTGGAGGATGCTAGTGAGCCTGGGAAGGCAGAACCAAGCAGATAGAAAAAGAAGCGGTGTACCGATTGATAGGACTTCCTGGTACAAGGATTACGGTGAGATCCATGTCTAGCTTCTCTCTGTGTTCACAAGTTTCTTGTTAACTTAATTCTGACCAGCAAGTCTCCCTTGCCTTTTATACCTTTGGTTATGTATTCCTGCTCTATGTTCAGTCTTGTTGGAGTGTGAGCATTTACTTAAATTTTTCAGTGAGGGTGGGTGGCTCTGGATAATGGCGAAGGTAAATAGAAACATAGGTGGGGACACTAAGCTTTTTTGCTTTGAGAATGTTAGCTAAAATGTAGCCCTCAATAAGATGCATCAAGCATCTCCACCAGGCCTGCATCCTGGTCTCAGTGCAGATTTTAGCATGCCCCCACCAAGTGGTGCCGCTCCTGATGGGGAAAAATGAGTGAGGGTATAGAGCAGTTGTGAGGGAGATGATGGGAATTGCAGAGGAAAGTAGCTTTGCCTTTTTATACCTGCCAGTTTTATCCTGTACCCATATAGCTGTCTTTTCAGCCAGTAACAAAGACTGGTGGCAGCAAAGCTCAGGCACCAGTGAGCATGGTGTAGTCCTGCCCTGCAAAGATTGTAGCCCCATCTGACAGATCTGAGAGCTTGTTCTTGATTAATTTGGGCAGTACTTGTCAAGGCAGGAAAGTCGTCTTAACGTTTTTCCAGCATCGTTTGGACACTAAGGGCCAAATTTGCAAAAGCGCTTAGGCCCTGATCTGCAAAGCTGTTCAGGTACCTACGTTCATAATATAAACGGGCTGGCAGTGGCTAGCCCAGTTCCCTGTGGAAAGTGGGTCACTGGGCGTAGTAAGTGGTTTAGCGTTGTGTCATTCGAGGAGAACACTGAGCTAGTATGTGATAATGTCCTTTTAACGCATGAAGGCTGCCATGACCCAGGCATTTCAGGCAGCGGATGTCAAAATTGCCCCAAGCAATTTGAGACTCCTGAGTTGCCATCAGGCGTGTAGTGGGATGATATTAATACACTGATTAGAGCTGCTGAGCGCTTGGAAACTTCCAATCCAGCATCTTGGATGCTTGGTAACGTGGAAGCAAGAAGTATGTAGCAGTAACGATGGCTGTAACGATGTGCTCAAGTGAGAGGCAGAGGAGTGCTTGACTTTTCTGGGTTTGCAAGCACATTTGATACGTGTAAATTTTAATGGGGGAGTGTACCCCAAAGGAAAAAAAAAAAAAAAAAAAAAAAACCAAGTAGGTAATCATCTGATGATCCTGAAAGAACCACAAAGGAGACATCTCTCTGTCTGTCTGTCCTGTTCTCCCCTCCTCTTGCATGCAGGCTCATCAAGGCACATAAAAAAGCAGAACACTACTGTTGAAGCCTGTGTGGTTCCTTCCAACCTCACATGGCAACTTCTTGGAGAAATCACACTCAGCAGAGAGATAGTCCTTCACGTGCTGTTCCTGTGCAGGAGAAAACAGACTATCATAGGCTCAGGAAAACTAAAGTGAACTCTCATAAGCTAACAGCGGGCAAACCTCCCGACTGTTTCTTCGTGACAGTCACGGTAGGCTCCTTGCCCAGAGGGCTGGGGAAATGCCTTGGGGTGCAAAACACAAGTTCGATCCTTACTCCACAAGAAGAAAAGGCCCAAAGGTAGAAAACGCAGATGAAGTTGGTCCTGTTCAACTTTTCCATTCAGCCTCCTTCAAGTTGAACAGAGCTGTGAAGAGAGTTTAGAGGTAGACGTTAATGGAAAACTGGGGATAGTGCTCAAGTGAGAGGCAGAGAAGCGCTTGACTTTTCTGGGTTTGCAAGCACATTTGATACGTGTGCTTGTTTTGCATTGCACACCCTGAGTGCGGGCTGGACATGCGACATGACAACAGTGGTTACTGAAAGTTGAGGTGGGCTCAGAAAAGGGTTGGGCAGATTCCTGAAAGAGAAGCCTTTAAGGGGTCTTAAAGATCCTTTGTCTGGTACATGGGGTGCCTGAGCCACAGATCTGTGGAGCCTGGAAGAAGGCCCTGTGGGGATGTTGTTACATGCTTGCCCTATTTGGACGCTTCTGTAGGTGTCTGCTTGGCTAATATCAGTGACAAACTGCTGGGCAAGGTGGACCTTTTGTCCGACTTTAACAGTATGCCTGTACTCCTGCATAACTAATACTCTGTGGAAGTGCGAAGGTCAAGTTCTCACCTGACGCGTGGGGAAGCTGTCACGGTCTCTGAATAAGGCTGTGGCAGAGGTGAGATGAAAATCCTGGATTGCAAAAATGTTTGCAGAGAAGGTGACAGAAAGTTTGATGCTTGTAGCCAGTAGCACTTTATCTTCAATAATAACAAAAATGGGATTTGCAGTTTGCTAGGGATAAAGGTTATATTTGTTGTCAGGCTTTTGGTCTAAGTAGTGTTGAAGGATGTATTGAATCATTGTGTTTGAAGTGTATCAGCTGGGGCGTGCTCTTTAAAATACAATTGTTTTGATCCGTTTCCTATTTATTTTTTTGCAGCTTTTCCGACGTGTGGCAGCTGCCTTGCCTGGAATGGAAAGCACACAAGACAAAAGTAGAGAAGACAGTATCCTTTCTGTGTTTGTGCTGTGAGTCAGCGGTGGCAAAGCACTGCCAGGCGTTATCACAGATGAGGAAGGTGCAGGCGCTGAATAACGAAGGTTAAGAACAAGGAGGAAGCATTATGTACCCTGCAGCGCTCGATCAGCTTATAGACATCTCAGAGAGATGATGAGAGAGATGATAGGAGCAAGCGACCCCGTTAAGTGATAGCCCTCCAAGCTTGAAGTAATGAGGAAGAAGGCTTGGTGGGAAGGAAGGCTGGGACTAGGGGAGTTAATGGTGGAAGGCTCTGCAGTAGCGTGAAAGTAGTAGAGACTGCGAGGGCTGTGAAGTAGCTTGGAAACGAGGACAACTGAATGAAAGGGGAAGGAAGGATAACAGAAAGGTGCAGAGGGATACAGTCAGACCAGAAGGATTCTTCGTTTAGTGTTTGTGCAGGTAAGGGGAGACCACAGAGTAGGAGAAGCTCGCTGTGAAGAGAGCTGCAAAGAATCTGTGGCTCTTGCAGAGCAGGCTCCCAGATCTGGTTTACAGAGTCCGGGAATAACTTAGGTCAGAAGGGACCTCTGGAGGTCTCTGCTCCAAGCAGGGTATCTTCAGAATTAGCCCCATTGCTGCAGCTGCGCCCATAGATCTTTGTTCTGTGAATAATCCAGCCACTTCCTAGAATTTCTACTCCACCCGACTGTCCATTTCTGCTTGCTTTCCTTAGAGAGGGAAGGTAATGCAGCGGCAGTCTTCCCTCTCTAATCAAAGCAAGCAGAAACAGGCTGCGTTGTATCTTATTTGAAAGAATCGGTGAGATGCTAATAGTAAAGCGTGAGGTTGAGAGGAACTTTAGGGGTCGTCAGGTTTGTCTGCAGCAGGGATCATATAGCTGGTAGCCAGTAAATGGAGGAGAAGTGCTTTGGAGGAGGGATGTAGTAGGAAATGTAGGTGGGGGCACACTTAGCGCTGGAAATACAGCCCCTGTAGCACATCCTACTGCAGAGGGGAAAGGATTTGGGAAACTCAAGATTGTAGCTGCTAAGGCTCAAGCTCTGTGCAATATGCATTGGACTGATCAAAAATAGTTCCCTATGCAGGTTACTGAAAGGTTAATCGACAACAATTTTTCTTAATGAGAGGATGGTGGTAGAATTCACGGGCGCTGGCTGATGGGCCTGTGGTTTCTCTGTCAGGGAGTTTGATCAACAGTCTTTAATTGGAAGTGTAATAAGGGCGCTTTGAATTTGGCTTCCTGCAGACTGCAGGTAGCGAAAATTGAATATGATTTGTCTCCCAAACAGCTGTGTCCGGATTAATGGTGGGGGTTCTCCATAGGCTCTTTTGCAGAACCCTGAGGTTTCAAGGGTCTTGAACTGCTCATGCTCTGCGATGGAGCTGGCTAGGCTCATTTCCAGCATCTCTGACTCTTAGCTCTCTTACATATGTATAGAGGTTTAGATCAGCCAAACAAAAGGACCAAACCTATGAAATGATTTCTTGGTCTTTTGTTTCCCTTTTCATGTTTATTTTTCTCCTAACCTCTGTAAAGAGCAACTTCAGCCCCCGGAAGAGATAAGTTGGAGCTACCAGCTGTGTAACATGTTTCGCTCTCTATTAACTGATAAGAGAAATACTCGAGACTTGCAGAGCCTTGCGACTTGCAGAGCCTTGCGCTGAGCTGCCATGAGTTGATGTGTCTGGGGATTAGCATTCAAAGCTCCTGTGAAAGGATATGTAAACATTACAGCTGTGGAGCATCAAGCTGGGAATCTGCCACAAAGGGAATAGCTTATCAGGGGCTGTTCAAGAGCAGAGAGCTCTTCGGTGACCTTATGTTAGCTGTCTTTGCAAGGGGTGAGTTCAGAGAGGCAGCATGGGTTTTGCTCATTGGCGGTGGGATAAGTGAAACGGTTTAGCTGGAAGAAGGGCTGATTGCAGAGTTCAGACTGGCATGTATGGAGCATCGTATCTGAACTGTAGAGTGTTAAGAGTACTTTGGGAGGTTAGCGATGTGCACAGCCTGGGAGCAGATGGTGTCACTCGAGCACGCTGCTCTTAAAAGGCAGAGCACTCTCATCAGTTTGCAATTCACTCCTTCAGCTTACGCTCAAAAACCAAACAGACCTTTCTGCCTGTCCCAAAGCTGAGTGCCAACAAGAGGATGAGAATGAATTACTCCGCAGGTGGCTGCAAAATGATAGGGAGCAGAACAAGACTGAGAAGGAGGCAAGCTCTCCTTCTCTGGGTTCCTGCAGGCTCCAGCTAACTTCAGAGCTTATTTTTGCTTCCAGCCAGCAGGTTAGATCCCTTTTTGGGTGCCCGCCAGCTAGAGTTGCTGCTGTCCTGTACTGGAAGGTGAAGACAGAATCTAGTATCTAGAATCTAATTTGAAACTCTGGATTTCCAGGCTGTTGTTATAATTTCCTTTGTAAACAATGATCGGACCCTCAGTTTATATCTTTCACTTCCAGCT